TTTATAAGCCTTTATACTGCAACCAGAATTTAAAACTAATGAGAACCTTTTACCAAAAGACATTGGTATAAACAAATACAACTTTTTAATGTGACATAACATTACACAACTGGATTTTCTACAGTGTTAGGATTGTATTTTGATGAAAATTGTATTTTGATGTGCTGTGGCCAAAATGAACAGTTTAAAAGTCATCAAAGTGGATTTTTTCACTTGAAAATAAAGAAACCAGACTTCTCAAGGTATTCCATTACCAGTCAAAGAACTGTTTTACTGGGATGACCAGAGTCTTATCTGTTTCTTAGTGTTGAGGACAGTGCAAACATCTATAAGTAAACATTAAAAGGTCTCATCTAAGCTGATTTTCTGATTGGTGGCCTACTATTTGAAGCACAGAATGATATACTGATGTAATACAAAATTGAAGCATCCCTAAAAATATGCAAAGCCATGTTATGAGTTACCTGTTATTAGTCTAAACCTTTGCTAGTGGTCCTAGTGATGAATTTGTGTTGATCTTCAACCAACTTTTTATATTTTTGATGAGTTTGGTTTTATTGTAGAGTTTTTAATCAGCACAATCCTACACAACTTGTAGCATCCAGGGGACCCCAAAGGGCTTTTGTTTTATTCCTTTAATTGTTGCTACTTTTCCATGACAAGAACTAACACCTAGGCCAATAATTGTCCAGAGAACAAATCAAAGTGAATGGAGTTAAGAGCATTATCAAATCAATTTCAAATTGATCTTTACTGCTGTTCTGAGCTCTTGTCTGCCTGCTCTCAATCCTGAAAGAGAACAGAACATAATGGACAACAGTCAACCCAATGAGGTGGAGCAGCCAATGATGATATCATTGGAAAACATGATTGGACACAGTAGGGGAATAAATAACACTTGACAGCTCAGGACACATCTGCAGTGAGCAGCACAGCCTTAACCTCAGAGGGCAAAGAAAAGTATCTCTCATCAGGATACAGGACAAATAAATATCCAGCCTGGTGTACATCAGTGGCATAGACTTGCCAAGAAAGAACTTGACATTCTCTGGTCACATGGGTGCACCAAAATGACTTAACTTGCACAAGAAAGACTCAAAGAACCAAATAAAGCCAAAGAAAATGTAATGTTAAATATTTCTGTGGATCAGCACTGCAATATACCTGGAAAAATCTTACATAACTGAAAAAAACTGAACTGTAGAGAATGGGCAGAATAGGTAGAACACACCTATCTCAAAAAAGCTGCAATGAGACATCTTGTCCAGCTATCGCTTAATAAGTCTCTGTACAGAGGCATAGACAAAGGAAGGGGAACACAAAGGAAGGATCTGGAAAGCAGGACAAGGAAGGTGAGGCTCCCCCTCCATTCTCCCACCTGGACTAATGTGTCCAGCTCTGGGGTCCTCAGTACAAGAAAGACATGGATGGACCTCTTGGAGCAGGTCCAGAGAAGGGCCACAGAAACAGTCAGAGAAATGGATCACCTCTCTTATGAGGAATGGCTGAGAGAGTCGAGATCGTTTAACCTGGAGAAGTGAAGGCTCTGGGGAGACCTTACTGTGCCCTTTCAATATTATAAAGGGGGAGTATAAGAAAGAGGGAGAGACACTTCAAGGTCTGTAGTCACAGAACAAGGAGTAATAGTTTTAAACTGAAAGATAGTAGGTTTATCATGAACATAAGGAAGAGATTTTTTTATGATTAGGGTGTTGAGACACTGGAAAAGGTTTCTGAGAGATGTGAATTTCCCACCCTTGAAAATGTTCAAGTCCAGGGTGGATGGGGTTCTGAGCAACCTTGTCTAGTGAAAGGTTCCCTGCCCATGTCAGGGAGGGGTTGGACTAAATGATCTTTAAATGCCCCTTCCAACCCAAATCATTCTATGATTCCATAATTATATGAATCAATTTCTAATAGCAGAGTGCTATAGTGAAATCTATGCTGAGTTGTCTTGCAACCTTTGTGGAGACACAGTGTCTCTATTCCTGGTACTGCATTGATGGACAGATGAATTTTTAAAGGAATGACTCACCACGATCATACAGAAACATGGTAATAGGGTCTCACTTGGTTGTACCCTAATTTATCATATCTTTCGCCTCATGTCTTTCTACCATTGCATGGACAGCTGGTCTGGAAAGCAAGCTATTAATCAATCTCTGATGGTCAGAGGAAGCCAGTAACAATTCTTATTCAAATCATTTAGGTTGTCATTCGTGTTTCTCGTTTCAGCATGCATTCAATCTGAAAACACTGGTGGTGTTTCTTTGTGCTTACCGGCACTCAGTGCTCACTGTCAGACCCTGCACATTCACAGAGTCCAGCTTATAATTCTCCAAAGATAGATTTACTACCAAGGGCTTATGTATTGACAGTGATTGCCAGCAACAGTGGTAGAAAAATAGTAATGAAAAGAGGACAAGAAAAGAGGAAGGAATAAGCAGTCAGCAAAAGGTGTCAAGAAGTTCAGGTTGAGATGGAAGCATGGACAGACCCAAAAAGAGGAGAGGGAGATATGTTTGCTATTAGTGCAAAATTAATGAGAGAAGTTCAGTGAATAGATAAGTTGCAAAATAAGGTTAAAATTGGTAGAATATCCAAAAAAGAGAGATAGGCAAAGTATGGTATACCAAAGGAAATGTTCAAAATGTTATCAGGAAAGAAAGGGATAGCCAAGAAAAACATCTGACTATTACTAAAGAGTGGGGTGAAAGCTATCAGTAACATTAGGGGCTCTTGAGGATCTGAAAAGGAAAACAGTGACAGAAACTCCTACATTTGGTCAGAAACTGTGGGAAGAGACATTTCAATGAAACTGCAGGAAAGATGAAAGAAAATGAGTTCATATTATGAGTTTGAAGGTGATGGAAGGTGAGGGGAGTTCAGTTGCTAAATGATGAGTGAACAGAAACCTGCAACTGATGAGGACCCTCTGAAGATAAACATTTCTGTACTTAGTGCTTACACCTAAATAGGTGCTCCCCTTAGTTATTGGGGTGTGAGGTGGCCTCTTGAGGTAGGTGGATCAGAAGCACAGACATCCAGTGTCTACTGGATGGTCAAAAAAATAATGTTTCAGGATCTGACAGCAGCAAAAAAAAAAGAAGGAAAAAAGTAGAAAGAATTAAAAAAAAAAAGTAAGGAAAGAAAGAGAGAGAGAGAGAGGATAAATGAGGGAAGGAACCATTTCAGGGCTCCAGCAGCAAAGAGAAGGAAAACTGATGTATGGAAGAGAACTGCATGATTGATTTGAATCGCAGCACACTTCATGTGGAAGAACCAAAAAAGTGCAAACAAAGAAACATTTCAGTGGCATGAAAACAGAACCAGAGGAAGGGGAAACCAGTTCTTATCTGTAAAACAATGAAAGAAAGAATGAAATCGTGCAATAACAACAACATAAGAACATACTTCAAGGAGTAAATTACAGACAAATCTAGAATAAACTGAAAAGATCTCAAATTATATTTATAAATATAATAGAACAAAAAATGAAATACCAATATTACAAAAATAACCTGTCTCTCTTTTGTATTTGTTGCTCCAAAATGAGGAAAATAAGGTTAAAGCATATGGATTGTAAATAGTTTGTTCATTCATTTCTGCTATTCTCTTTGGACAAAGCAATTTAGACTAAAGGAGAGACTTTATTCAGGTAAAAGTGTAATCTAGACTGTCTTGTGAACAATAGAAAATTGGACACTGGCTCAGGTGTTGAGGTGATTATTCATTTAAGTGTGAGGTGCTCTAGCCAGCATTAAAAATCAAAATTATCTCTGTATTCCTCCTAAGAAGGAAGAATGGAATTCTTGTCTATATTTTTCAAAATGTGCAATATCATTAGCAATATTAACACTGAAACGCTGTTGTTGAATAATGTAAAATATGAGTGATATTAACAGAAGAGATATTTTTAAGCATAAATGATAATGAACTTTGGTTCCCAACTATTTAGTTGATAATAAATATCACATAGCTTTTCAGTGCTTTTCTGCACTTTTATGTCCTTTATACAAAATTAAATTTCAAAATTATTCTTTTCCTAGACATTCCTATTACAGAATTACTCTGAATGTTATAAATTATTATTATGGCTGTTTAGATATTCAAATCACAATTTTCTATATATATCTACAATCTGCATGGAAGACAGTATGAAGAAATATTTGCTGTAGTCAAAATTGTTAATGTACACAAGGATCACGAAACAGTATGTTTTTTCTTACATAGAAATAAGGAATATAATACAATGTGTCATTGTTCATACCAACTACTTTATTAATATTTAGAATCAAAGAATCATTTTAAAAATAAAGCCAGTAAGACCTAAAATGACAGCAGTTAAGATAAATACTACTCACCTCCTTTTGAAATACCATATGGTATATATATATTTACATATCCAAAACTACCTGAGTGAGGTTTTCACAGTCAACACTAAAATAAACCATCTACATCTACAATTGCTATGACACTGTCTCTCAGACATTTTAGATTCTTTCACGATATATCTTATGATTTTTTTAGAAAACATAGTCACTGTCAGTGACTATGAGACATTTAAAATTTTTTCTGGTCATTAATACCTTTAGGTGTGTTACAACATAGTGAAACATCAGGTGTACTAAACACAAAGTAAAATTACCTAATATTTCAGATTCTTCTTCAAATGTCTTCAAATGTATTCTTCTCTAATGGACAATGATAGAATTTGGATATACTACAGCACTTACATTTATGCCACTAATTTTATTTAATCAACTTCAGTGTTAGTATTTCTGAAGTCTTAAAATAAATATTCACTAACATATTCAATATTTCTAGAGATTGTTTCTTACAAAAATCTGCAATCTATTAGCAATAATTAATTATGCCAATCGTATATAGTGACATCATGTTATAAAATCAAGCAGAACAGAAAGTTATAAACTGTCAAGATTTAGTTATGTTATTGTTATTTTATGCTATGTTCTTATTTTTATTAAGTGGACACATACCCCCACAGACATCTCCTTCTGCATTTTCACACTGTCGATCATCACATTCACAGTTTTTGCCATGAACTCTGTTGTCTCCTGGAGGGAAACAAGTGCATTGGCCGCATTCACATCTCCCTGTAAGAATAAACAGTTGATAGAGTCATGATTTCAGTGAAGTAAAATAAATTAAATGAAAACCTAAATTTATTCTACACTCTACCCCCCAAGACAAACTACAAGTCACCCTGTATTAGTTGAAGTGTGCACATAAACGTGATTAAAAAAAACCCGAATCAAACAAAAACATAGCAAACCAAATTCCTCCTCCATGGCAACCAGAAGGACCGTATGTCACTGTTATATCTTAGTGGAAACAGCAACAATAAGGAATCATTGGCATTGCATGCTTTTCATATCTGAACTTAGTATAACTGAGCTATGGCCCATGCTTATCTGCATAATTAACCTCTATAATTGATCTAAAATATTTAGCACATATCTCAGAAACTCCAATATTAATGTGATCAGAATTAAATAGTCTCCGCACAGGGTTATCTAAGATACTCTCTATTCATGCAGAAACATAACTCATCAAATACTCTGTCAAGCATTTCGAAAGCACAAATGCCTATAATTTTTCTTGTCTAGATCTCAGGAAACAGAAGTCAAAAGCACAACCTTTGTCAGTCTCCCCTTCCATCAACCTATTTACAGGAGAGCTCCCCAGAGCTTAAAGGGCCAATGGATTTATCCAAGCTCCAACAGATCTTCCACTCCAAAATCCTCAGTGCTGAAAGTGCTAAATAGTCAGGTGTGAAAAAAATTAATATCAAGGACAGTCTTACATTGCATATATTTGAGACAATCTCATTTCAGGTAACACTGGCCCTAACTTCTAAGGGTTTGCCTCTGTAAGTTTTTAAATTGTTTCAATGCAATACTGGTGTGAGAATGTTCTAAATATGACCCAAACCATGGACCAAACTAATACATTTGATGGGAAAGACTATTATGTGTAAAAAAAACCCACCAGAGACATGGATTAGGATGCAGAAAAGCCTGCTCCTCTTGATTTAACTTAATCACAGCATGAGTGAGTCTCAGCCTGGGCCTGCCCACTGCTCTACTGACTGAACCCAAATTTACAGTAGGAGCAAATATTTCTAGAAACAAAAAAACAATTCTCCAAGTGCAGCCTTTCATATGTAACCAGATAGTTAACCACACACTACATTAATTCTTTTAGCATTTTCGGAAATATTTTGCTGAATGAAAACCTTAGTGGAGGTTTTCTAACTGTAAGTTTTGTGACAATAAAACCTTTTAGGTTAACCTACTGGCAGATAATTCTTAATATTTTTTTCCATAAGGTAAATTTATTATATTTATTTGGGAGGTTTTGTTTTGGTTTGATTTGGTTTTACTTAGTGTTTGTTTGTTTGTTTGTTTTTAATAGTCTAATTCAGTTGGAGTAGTGGGGGATCTTATTAGTTATGGAAAAAAATTCTCAGTTGATTTTATAGTTGCTCCAAGCCTCAAATACACTTTTGAGCTGACCTTCTATATGCCAGAATTCAATCTAGAAGGACATAAAGTGCAAGAATTTTTAAAAAGTCATGCTGATAAAGAGAATTAGAGCAAATACTTCATGATAACTTTATGATATACATAGTTTAAAAACTATGTTGCATTGGCAATTATATGGGGATATTCATTCCAGAAAGAAACTTATAGAAAGTGCATCTACCACATCACTAAATACAGTTGTGTTTAGTAATCATGTCAAAAATTAAGATATGTTTGTCTACAGAAGAATTTGTCTTCATTCTCTTAGCTGTAACTATTTGTCAAGAAGAGCCAAATTAGAAATTGAAAAAAAATAATTCCTTAGTACTTAAATATACAGAGAATTTTAATGAGTCTAAGTTGTCACTATTTAGGGCTCTCCACCATGCGTCCACCTTAGACAACAGGGTTGTTTTTGCAAATATGTCACATCACGGTGTCCCAAAGAACAGTCAGTCATCCATGGGCAGAGAAGTACCTGATGAACAGGACCCACCTGCTGTGAAGACTCTATAAAATAAACAAAAAAGAGTCTTTAACAGTGGTATCCTGGCCAGCTATTGCTATAATAAAGAGGATACCTGAAGGATAATAAAATCAGTTTAAGCAAAAGTTGCTTTGATTAGAGGAGTCATCAGAGATGGAAAATCCTCCAGAGGAATGAGTAAAGGAAGGCCCTGTAATGAGGATTCTGCATGTTCTGTAATTAAGCATTGTCTTCTGTAATGCTTAATTTAATAAGCCAGAGTGACCTGAGAGCCCAGTGGCCAGTCACTTACACTGCAATGGGAACAGGTTCCTCTCGGTTCTTGCTGCAAGTAATGTTTATTCATTTTGTGTAACGTGCAACAGTTTCACCAGTAGAAAAATGGAAGGATGCCCATCCCCAGACAGATAGGGCACATTTTTTCAGGTAAGAGATACAAGCTCAAAGGGAATTTAGGTCTTACTTTCTCAGTCTTCTCAGCTAATGAACAAAGCACAAACACATATATTCAAAAAGCCTGAACTCTTTGTTAATATCTGTGCTTCATATTTTATTTTGCCTGGCTCCCACCTAAGTTCAGAGTATGGTTTAGGTCATCTGACTCCAGACATCGGCAGAACTGAAAGTGTCTCGAAAATAGACAAAAACCTCAGTCAGCAAGTGCTCTAGAAAAGGATTTCTGATTTCTCTGAACTATTTCTTCACTTTTAAATATTCAAAGATACAGTTACAGTAGCTTAGTACACCACTGCTGAAATTGATACACAAGTTATTTAGTTTATCATTCCTTTACTTTCACACATGTTACAAGATAAGCATTAGAAACAAGGTTAATTAATTTAGTGGTGGCACTTAATAATTGCAACTTTTTACTGGCTTCAAAATAATATTTTGCCTCCAAAAGTACTGAGGTTTTGGTTAGATTGTGTAAGGTAGGCTCATTCTGAGGAGATAGTTTAACTGAGAATTAAAGTCCTATTGATTCTGAACAGCTAACTACATAGGATGTATGTGCTACTGAAATATCAGAAGCCACACCTTATTCTGTGATGTTCTTCTCTTAGTTATTGTGATAAAACACTTACCAAATAAATTCAATCATTCAAAAATAATTTGAAGCTCGCATTGTACTGAAAAGGATTAGTACCTTACTAAACATGCTCTTTCTTTGTATAGAATAATATGTTTACCATAGCAACCTGATTATGCAGGGAAAGCCAAACACATCCTAAATTCTCTTTAAATTCCAGGACATACAGAAACAATTAAATACAGGATTACTATAATATTCTGCACCTTCTCAACCTTCTGTGCAAGAGCTACACTTGAGTAAAAAGAAATCAGTTGACCTCAGACATTTTACAGCAAGTGGTATCCACTCCTCCTAGCTAAACAAGGAGAGTAAATGTCATAATCTGATGGCTTCAGATGAAGGGAGCTTTATGATGGAGGTTGTATTAGCTATTAGCGTTGAAAAGCTTAACCTACCTATAGCAATGCAAGGTTCTAAGAATAGAATAATTATACAAGACATTTATTTGCCCTCACTTTTAGTATTTTCTCACACTTTTTCCTCCCATTGATGTCAGAAGGAGTATTAAATTATTTCTAATAATTGTTAGCACTTGAAGATTGAAAAAAAGATCAGTTTAGGTTGGGGTTTTTTGTTTTTAAAGGGAATTAAGGTGCCATATCTCATCAAAACACATTAGTTCATTAGATAATTGACTCTAGAATTCTAAAAAATGCCTTTTGATTTTATTCACCATTTACTACAGCATTTTTTCATTCCTCATGTCCAACGTTTATGAAAGCATAAGTAAAGTAAACAGTGCCTAGATTTACATTAAACCTGCTCCCATGCAAATTGCTGTGACCATTAGCTGCATGCATTCAAACCAACTCCAGCTGCCTACGTAGACTGACTGAAAATCTCCTTTGTACAGGTAATTTTCATTTTAAAAGACTGTGATAGAAGTATATAATTTGTGTAATAAAGAATTTTTACCCTGTTGTTGCCAGCAAAATTATCAGGAAGAAATAGCAATAGCTTTCAATGTAAAAATAAACACTGAATATACTAAGATTAATAAGATGTACTTCATTGCCTTTTCCTGTCTATAACTCTACAACGTAAAGGATTTTTCTGCGCAGGATGCTGAATTTTTATCTTCTAAATGAAAACAAATAAATAAAACTATTTCTATTTTTTTTTCTTTATTTATTTATTTTTTTTAATGTGTAAGAAATACTGTACCAAATTGCACTGAGAATGTGCTAAAAGCAAACCAGGTTCATTGTCATCCTGGAAAGATGGTGTTCCAGGCCAATGATAAACAGAAGGGAATGTGCTTTTAGGAAGGACTTTTCTGCCCTGTGGCTGTCCCAGGTTCAACATCTGAAAGCATTGCCTATCAGAAATTGCAATTTCTTTGTTATCAAGTAATCTCAAGCAACCTGAGCACATTCAGTAAAGCTGCTGTGTCTTTCTGCCAGCAGAACTCATTTCATTGCTGGATGCGAACAAGATGAGCTTAAAATAATGTTCAGAAATGGCAAATCAGAGAAGAGGGGTTGGAAGATTTGTACAGAAGATCATAAAGTTTCAGGGGACTTAGTGGATGAGGGGAAGCAGATTTGACTAAAGGAAGTAATACCATATAGCAGCTTCAGGTAAGGTAAAAGAAAATTCATTGGTTGAATGGTGGAAGAAAAAAAGACCAGTAGAGGGAATAAACAGCACCACAAAATGGGCAAACAAAATGCAATACTTGCCAAAAATAGGGTGGACAATATCATCATGTCTTGTTCAGTCAGAGGTGCTAAGAACAGTACACTCCAGCTGAGCTTGATCAATGTGGAGAAATTTAGAGACTCAAACAGAAAACAAATACAGAGTTCTCAGTAGTTATGCATCCTGTGTTCTGCATGTCCTACTCCCAAAATAGCCTGGAATTAATTCCCACACCTAGAATGGCTTAAAAAAATCATATAAAAATATTGTACTGACTAGACAAAAAAAAAAATCTGCCTTTTACTGTGTTTTAAATGCTGGCAAATCTTAGATCTGGTTGGCTGGATA